CAAATCTAAGCTGAAACGTTAACGAATATTAATCAATTAGATAAAACTTTTTTGTACCTCTATTTCCGCCCGAAGTCTCTTGCAACCTCGTAAGAAAATCGTATAATTCGCTGGCCCTGGAATTTATTCGTTTTCTTCTGGCAATAGTGTTAACGGTTCTAGCTTTGCTCCACGTAGAGAACGAGCTTAATCCTTTATTTGCCGCGAACGTTAAGTTGTATTTGATTTCTCTGTCCCCAAGAAAGAAAATCAATCGCAGGCAGTTCCCGGAACGTTCGATCATCCTGGTCATATTTTCTGCCCAACACCAACCCTGAGATAGACGGTCCACTATCCCGTTGGCTGGTGACACTTCTTGAGTTATCACAGATTTACAGAACGTGGACAAAGATTGCATCTCGGAAATGTAAATCTGTTGCCTCTTCTTCCAAGACGTCGCGCACCAACCGTGCTCGTGAAGGCTGTTGAAAAGATTGTTCAAATACGGGCGTAAAATCGGCTCGAGAACCTTCCGATCGTACTCCATACCTTCAAGAATGAAACACTCTTAAACTTGAACAAGCAGCCGCGATATTTTACAAGCGGATATTTCCCTACCGAAGTACAACCATTGTAAAAGCATTTTAGTCATTATTGGAAAAGCTTCCAAGTCCGTGTTGACGGTTTCCCTGTCTCTCCTGATAACGTCAATCAAAAGTCCGACCGAATAATCGAACTGACTGGTGGTGTTACAATGCTCCCTCTTCTTCGATTCCCTGCGACGATCGCGCACTCGCGTTCTGCGATTTACCATCGCGTAAATTTGGTCCCGGGCCTGCGTTAAGACTAATCTCAACAGGAATACGAGGTTCTCTACTTGTTCCGTCGTGCGACACGATAATTCCGAAAAATTTAAGTAATAATAGCTGTCCGATCGATCCTGTCGACACAGAAAGCGATTCTTTTTCATTTCACGGAGCTACGAAACGTCTCGTCGGCTTTCCGTCGTTGTACCTGTAACGAGGCATCCCTTGCACGCAGTACTTGCTCTAGGATCATATTTAAATATTCCAGTTGTCTCTGATTGTATCCGTAATCCTCGTCAGTCGTTCCTCTAGGCAACGAGGCCACGATGTCTCGCCATCTGACAATGAGCTCGCTCTCCATAATGTCTATAGGTCTGGGTACACTTCGCGTCATGGAAAAGGAATGATAATGGAGGGTTCCCAAATAGGATTCCAACAGTCGACAATCGGAGACATAAGAGTCCTCGTGATGTACTATTCCACCTTCGAGATTTAAGATTCACTATTTAAATTAAACGAGTATTGGAAATCTGATACTTTATGAAAAAATAACGAGTGGATTCATGGAATTTGTAATTAAATCGGGATATTATTATACAACAAAAATTTAACAGCACCCGTGGCAAATGAGCAATTAAAAAAAAGTGATACCATCGAAGTGGATTGTTGAAGAAGAATTATGAACGTGTTCGAATCGCTGATGTGTTCAACGACCGCAATAATGGAACACGTTGTTATCGCCACCAATTAAGGATTACCATGGAAACCAGACGATCGCTTTACGTTTTGCAGAGATATTGATTATCATATGAAAAATATTGGTAGAAGAGACAGAGGGTGAATGTCAAGGAAGAAAGGAGTGAGGGACAGAGAGAGAGAGAGAGAGAGAGAGAGAGAGAGAAAGAGAGAGAGAAGAGGTCTCGGTGGGCTTCATTCTTCTAAGATGTTTTTTTATGCAAACTGTATTACCTCTTGCGCATTGTAGCATCACATTGCAACGCGGATGAAAGTAACACCTCAGGTTTTGGTATTTCAGAGCGGCGACCAACTCGTCCAATGTTAATAGAACATGACGCGAAAGAGTATCGGGCGCCCAACTTGTCAAGGGATCTGGTCCTGCCCTTTCCAGGGACCATCGGTACACGGTCCTCAGAATATGTCTCGAAACTATTCGTAAATGATCTTGCAACGGAGAACCGCCCTTCCGCGTTACCTGATTCATGAATATGATTTCCACTAAAAGCCAAAACCACGAGAAACAGAACAGTCGATCCGATTGCAGAAGAAAGGAAATAGGATGGAAATTTAATTTTTGAAATTAAATTTCATCAGCGCTGTATGTTATCGATGATAGTTATTGTCACCGAATTTAAGCCGCGAAGCTTTCATTCAAATAATTCAGGACGTGATGATACGTCTGAAGATAGGCTTTCAACTGACGTGGGATCTGTGTCGCAAGGGGCAGTTGGGAGGTAAGGAAAAAAGAGTCTCGCGTTGGGGAAGAAATGGATCGAGTTTCAGAAATAAACCAAAAAATCGCAGATCGCGTGAATGCAAGCGCGACTGTGTGCAGCCAGATCGCACGTTCCGGATAGACGTTGAATTATTGTCAGGACGTGCAAAGCCATAAAATGCACTAATATTTTCATAGACGAAAATATAGAAAAGAATGGGACGGATCTAACTAGGTCTGATATCTAAAATATTGTCGCGGTGACACGAAAAGGAGACGAAGGATACGTCAGTCTATTTTCAGAAATAAGTGCAACCGGTAAAGATAATAGTTGAAATGTACGAAGCGTTGCTCAGGATATATGTGTGTGTATTCCACGTGAAATTTCCGGAATACGGCATTACAACTTTTAATTAGAAGCTTAGGAAAATGCGTTGAATAGTTACTTTCGACTTCATCGGCAAATTTAAAAAATATCCCTCCCGGAGTTGGTACAGAATTTCCAGAAGCACGGATTCCGTCAGAGCTGGTACGCTGTCTACGGCATAGTGTTGACTCATAATTTTCTCGGCTGCCAGAACACGTACTCTCCAGAGAGTAGCCCGGTTCTCGCAACGCGCACCGGAATACGGACCAACGGCCACCGCGTACATACCCTGGAACAACGACGTCGAAAAAGGTAATGCGAGACAAATGAATCCGTGCATTCTAACAAAGACGCAAAGCTATCTAGTTGGAATCAAATTAGAACTCGGGCAGGAATTTCAATGCAGTGAAAAGCTAGTTTCTGTTTCCGTGGAATAGCAATACCGCGCAGAACAGCGCTATCGAATAAATTAATTTGTTTGAAAGGTCGTCGATTATACTTTCGGGTAATCTAAAGAGCCACGCGCGCCAGAACGATACACCATTTATTAGTTTAATTCACCAATTGAAAAGTCGAACAATTAATAATACGAGCAAAGGTCTACTATGTGGATCTCATGCAATTCGATGTTCGAAATTATACTCATTTATGCGAGGTGAGGGAACGTTGCCAGTTATGTAGCGTACCATGTTGCATGAGCTGTGTGTGTCAATACGCTGCAGCGTGCGCACGTGAACCGATGGATCGTTAGACCGCGAACAGAAATAATAAAAGAGCGCCGACATCGCTTGTTACGGAGCGCAGTGCTTATCTCGAGATGGAAACTCTGATGAAAAGTGTGAAACACAATTCTGCGAGTGCTTTCGAGACTTTTTGCGTGGAAAGCATCCAATATTGCGTATCGGAAATAAGTGCACTCGTTCAAGCCTCTCGTTCAAGAAAATCTGGGTTTTTATCGCTGCATTTCTCAATGGTCCTCACTAGTATCGAACTTTTAATAATCGTTCATCCGCCGACGATACAATACGAATAATCAATGCTCTAATTACACGACGCATGCGTATAATATGTTAATACGAGACAATAAACTTTTCGGTTGTTTTATCAAAAACATGCCGCGTGGGTGATTTCAAAATATGTATTATATCACGTGCGTTCTGTCGCTTAGTATTGAAAAATGTTGATAAAATATAACGGCTTGAAGATACACCATTTTCGGTATACGAAAACAAGTAATGTTGAAAGAAGACAAAAATTCCACGATAAATTACCGCGTGGAGATCGGAATTTCGCACATCTTCGCATCTACGAACTGGAGCGGAATACAGATGCTTGACACCCGATAACGAATGTGGGAATTGGTGAACCAATCGCAACCAATCAATACAGAAAATCGAATCAGATGGCGTGCAATTTGTATTTTCGCTTTATGTTATACGCTTACACTCTGTGCCGCGGTGTAGTGAAGGAGAGCGTCACAATGGTAGAGAGGTATTCGTTGGGGATAGTCGGCTAAACTGGGCCACGACGACACCCCGACGCCGATTAATAGCCTGACCTCAGCCTCGCAGGATTTAAAACCGTCTAGCCCGATTCTGAGCAATATTCCCCCAGCGTCTTCGATCATAGCCACTCGATAATTTCTCGGCTCTGGTAATGGCCCGTCCGACATGGCTAGAAACAATCACACGATCCCTTTGTTATCTAGGGACCGTTGTTAAAAATCGCATCGTTAGTCGCGGCCGTTATACCGCGTGAAACGCGCCGATTTGATTTATGAGACTCTCCTTTAATACAGTTACACGGAAACTGGGCGTACTCGGTAGGCGCTCGTTATTCTAAATAAATTCCTCTACAGTCGTTATTAAGCAACTTTCCTCAAGCGTCTTGTTCTGATTTATTGAACGCCGGGTATATCGAATTACCAAGTCGCAGCGAGCACTGGTTATTTAATACAAAATGAGGATAACAGGCAGAGAAAGGAAGGGATGAAGAGGAAGATGAGAGGGGGAGAAGGAAGTTTTTGGTGGAAAGTTTGAAGACGCGTGAAACCGAGAAACGAATAGCATGGCGTTAATAATAAGAAATATGAGATGTACGAAGTGAGGAATTGAGGTAGATACTAACGAGACGCTGAACATTGTATTCTTGTTTGCGCGATACAGCATCAAGCGGTTTTTGTTAACCTCGGTCTTATAAAGATAAACGTGTCGTAACATCTCGAGATGGTATCCTTCAAAACTTGTACGTTATTCATAGCTGGAATTTAACCCGCGCCTTTATCTTCCTTAATTAACGATGGCATTTAAGTTTTCCGATAATTTAAAAACGCTACCTGATCCGTAGAATATCCGACAGTAGTGCGGCTGCTTTAGTATTTTGTCGAGGACGTCGGCATCGACCACTTGACCAGGCGAAACGCGAACTCTATCATCTTGTACATCCACGATATCTGATATAAAACCTCAATAGTTATCTCAGTTTAATACATTCTCAAACTTAAAAATCCTAATTCGAATTATTGGAAACAATTGTCTGACTGTGTGAAACCATTTTTCACGCGACGTAAAGTTTCGAGTAAGGAAAAATAAAGTACCTTGTTTTATAGCTGTTGCCAACAAATTTGCTAATTTGGATTTGACGAGATCTCTCCTCAATCTTCCCGTAGTATCCATGTACTCTTGCCAAGCTTCCGCACCAACGCCAAGCACCTTTAACCGAATAAAGCCTGGTAGCGAAGCATCTTCCTCGATGCACACCCTAGAGATTTCCTCCGAGCTCACGCTCGGAGTCGATAGCGCATCTATTCGCAGCAGGTATTCGAACCTAAGTCGCTACAGAGGAAAAAATTAAATCCAACTCGAAGATGCTCGGTATCTCTTCATTGCTGAATGGTTCCATCCGAGCTTTTCAACTTGATGATATTGTTACAATCCCAACAATTCCGGTTCCGTGATCTTCTTACCTTTATTCGCTGAGGCTCGTTCAGTGAGACGAGGAATATAGATGAGAATCTTCGGTCGAGATTACCAACGCTAAGCATCAAACGTTGAACCAATCTCTCTATCGTGGTTTCGATCGCGGGAGTAGTAATTAACGAATCTGAGAACAAATTCGTTCATTCGTCAAAACTCCGCTAGCTATTAACTGGTTCCCGAACATAACGTTCTTGTTGTTCGGGGCCGTTTCATGGAGATGATCCTTTCATGGTATGTCGGATCGAACACCAACATTCATCGGGAAGCTCGTTAAATATTCACCATTTCGTGCTTCGTCGACTAGGCTGCGAAAATATGTATTCAGATTGTGCAGTTGACCCTTGGTGAAAGCCAGCTTCGTGGCCATCAATCGAATACTGCCCTTCTTGCACGACGGTCCGCTAGACGCGCAACCCATTTTCCCTCGAAATGAAGAAAACGAAAAAACCACGTTAAATTGAATTTCATACGCATTTCGATGTACTGTATTGCGAAGCAATCAGCGTTTTTCAACCGACGAGAAGAACAGGAGAAAAACTCGAAACGTTCCGCTATTCAAACGGAAATGCATCTGTACAATGCATTTCCTGAATCAGCCGAGATCGTACGTAATAGGAAACGGGAAGGCAACAAGAAACAAGGAACGATGCCGTGCTCTGCAATAAATCACCAGGAAAATCGATCTTTCGACTCTTTACATGAAGCGCTATTAAATCACGCTACGTTTGCCGTTAAACAATCAAATAGTTCAAAACTGTTTAGAAACAGTTTAAGGAATTCCGCGACAATGCACATCCCGCTTTCACGTGCGCTGCACAGCTTCACATTGATTCATCATGACACTTCCTATCTTTCCGATTCATATTCAAATTTTGTTTCACTCTAACCGATTCGGATGAACCGTTTTCGTAAATACCGACTCGAACTACGAGACGATAAATTGAAAGAAGTTTAATGCACGCTGCAGTTATAAGTTCCGGAGCAATACAGCGAAATGGGAAGAATGAAACGGCGCAATTCGATTTGCTTTTATTTGATACCTTTGCAACGGCAACGAAGTCACGAGCATGGATCCACAACAAACACTGGAGAACGAGCGTTATATCACACAGTAAAGCCACCGACTGACGCTTCCATTCCGCTGGGAAGATATTGACACTCCACAATTGTGATCATATAAATGCACCGAACACCAATTATTATTCTGCGTATCGACTAACAATACCATCGCAGTGTTCGGTCACCGGAATTACTTCCGATTCCGATTGTGTATGTTCGACTTCCGTTCCCTTGAACGTGTATCCGCTGCTTACCATGTATTACGCTACAATTACGATGTCTCTGAACTACTTATATAGACAGAACGAACGAGCTTACGAGCAATAAAAAAATAAGAGATCTCTGATGTGCGTGGAATACGAAGAATCAATCGATCTCATCGGTCCTAATTAATTGATCCTCAATACTAAGACGAAGAATTTCTCATTATTATAATTACGCATCACATAGCATAAAATTAATTAGATTATTATTATCTTAATAGGTAAGATAAATTTGTTTCCGTAATTTCCCTTCAGTTTGGATTAAGAAACATAAAGGGAAAAATATTTTAATAACAGATAAAAGTGTAGCCTGTGATAATATAGTATATTCTCAGTGGTACAAGACACTTTTTATTTACCTCTTTCTTGTTATTACATTAATTTATAAAACGCAGTACAAAGTAAACATTTTCTTCTGTTCCCTGCCCTGTGTGTTTTCACAGGGTTTTAAACATTTACTAATTATTAATATACTTAATGCGGTAAGGGGTAAGCTCTATAATGTATTGCATAAATAAAAAAGTATTAATTGAATCTCTGAAATATGAAATATTTTTTAATCTCGAACGTAGTTATAAATTTTTCAGATTGTGTTCAATAATTCAATGAATTATAATTTGTACGTTACGTGGAATGTTTCAAACCCAAAATACATATTTTGAAGAATACATTTAATTCAAACAGAATACGACATTTGGAGGAGTGGAGGATTTCATGAAACGCGCAACCGTAAAAATTGACAAATTAAACATTTGCGCTCCTATATCGACATCAATTTGATTCACAAGGAACAAAAATGAGAAAGTACTCGGATCAAAAGAGTTAACGTCCAAAATATGATTTTCCTACAATTAAAAAATTTAAGTCTGTCACAAATTCGAATTCAAAAATTCTTTATCACAAAATTCCGTAGCGCGTTTGAAAGAACATGATGGCGCCATCAAATGACAAAACTTAGGAACTAGTCGATCATTTCGAAACAGAAAAGTGAACTTTCTCTGCTTTTAACAAAATTTGTATATCCAAAAAATGATCTACAGCAATGTATTTCTCTGTCTCCTATTTTCATTTCAATCATAACGTTATCAATAGATTATAGACAGTAATCATAGCGCTCATTATAGTCGGAAATAAATTATAGAACGAAAGTTTTAATTGAATTTAAAGTCTGCTTTTGTTCTTTTCGTATGTATATAATTTAACAACCATTGACGATAGATCGCATTCAATAAATATCTGATGCTATCAGTGAATTCAATTTATGGAATTCAGCATCAAATCCGAATGCGATATTAGCGCCTCTAACAATATGGTAAGAACTTCCTCACATTCACTATCCACGTCAGTCTGCATGATTATTGTAACATAACCCTGACGTCTGTGATCCGGTATTCAGTCTTATCAGTGAAAAAAGACATTTATGTACATGTCAATTTTTGTATATTTACGTATAACGTAAACAAGGTATTTTTCAAAATTGTTCTCTATCATGTTTATAACTCTGATATTATCTAATAATAATGTGTCCATATTTGTTTAATATACATTTTGAATGTATGTAAATTTGATTACAGATAATAGCAAGATGAATTGGAGTTTATGGTTTTTTATAATCGGATCTTTTAATTGTAAATATATATATGGTCAGCAACAAAGAGTTCCACCAGGTGTGTCACCTCAACATTACCAACAAGTAAGTATATCTCTTATGATAATCAAACATATGTTTACTATTTCATTTAAGCCAGATTCATTATTCCACATTTATCATTATTAGGGGCTGTTAATACAATAATATTCTTTCAACTATACACGAATAATATCTTAAACATTCATAGATCAATGTATATTCAATTTGTTTTAGCCTATTCAACAAGTACATCAAGTACCACAACAAATGCCACAACAAATGCCACAACAAATACCACAACAAATCCCTCAACAACAGGTAGTTTCATATGGCAGTTTTTATATATATTTATAAATGCCCCACTATCTTTTATCATGCTACATTAAATGGATATTTAACATTTTTATAAAAAGTGATTATATATTATGTTAAAATTTTGTACCAAGTACCAGCAAATGCCTGTGCAGCATCAAGTTCCAGTCCAACAAGTACCTATGCAACAACAGCAAATGCATCATCAAGTGCCCATGCAACAAGATCATGGACATGAACACACGCAACCACTACTCAATGCTGCCCATGTAGTTCAAGAAAAAGCGTATGTTAAATTAATTTGGAATCATTCATATTGAACATATTAGATCTCTAGTTATTAAAATTTATTTGCAGTCATATTGCTGAGCACATGGATGTTCCAATAGATACTAGTAAAATGACAGAACAGGAATTGCAGTTTCATTACTTCAAAATGCATGATGCAGACAACAATAATAAGTTAGATGGCTGTGAGCTTATAAAATCCTTAATTCATTGGCATGGTATGTCTTATGCAGACATGATAATAAATTTTAATAAAAGGAATATATATATATAATAACGACTTTATTTTTTAGATCAAGAAAATAAACAGCAGGTGGCCGGAGAAAAATTATTCAAGGATGCTGAACTGATTACATTAGTAGATCCGATACTTTCTATGGACGATACTAACAACGATGGATATATCGATTACCCTGAATTTATACGAGCGCAGCAAAATGCGGCGGCAGCTACAGGTCGACAGTAGGTGCAATCAAAAATACGATGTTCAACATCATTAAACGATATTTTTTATTTCACTTTCAACAAGCATACAAATCCATTTACAATCGCCTTGTAACTTCCACTTTGATCGTAATATCAGTAATGAAACAAATCACTATTTTTC